GTGCACCCACTTTCCCGCTAATGGCTCAAGTTTACCCTTCTCCATGGCAGAGTATTTGCTTCCTCCACTGTGTATAAATACCACATTTTAGATTCACTCATCTGCCGACGGACATATAGGTCTCGCCCACGATTTAACTACTAGGATCAACTACAAACATGGATATGGGTCTGTCATCAGGACATGACGATTTTAACGCTTTCAGAAAGACACCTACAAGGGGAATAACTGGTTTAAAAGGATTTTCTAGTTTTGGTTTTCTGGGTTTTTTTTTTAGGAACCGCCATACTGCTTTATATAGTTGTACTAGCTCACGTTCTCACCGATAATGTAGAAGGGTTCCTTTTCCTCAGAAGCCTCGCCAGCATCTGTTATTTGATTTCTTGATGGTAGCTGTTTTCTTTTTGTTGTTGTTGTTGTTGTTTTTTCCGGTACCGGGAATCGAACTCACAATGTTGTGCTTGCCAGGCAGGCACTGTGCTGCTGAGCTAGATCCCCAGCCCCACATGGTAGCTGTTTTCTTATGAGGTTGTTTTAAATTTGCGCTTCTCTAATGACCAGTGAGGATGAGCATTGCTTCACGTATTTATTGGTCATGTGTGCTTCTGGAAGTGTCTGTTCATTCCACTTGCCCATTTTTCAATGGGTCTCTTACTAGGCGGTGCCTAATATTTTTGGCACCTTCCTTACATATTCTAGATATTAGTCTTCTGTCTGAGGAATCACTGTCAAAATTTCTCTCATTCTGTAGGTTGTCTTCTCACTCAGTTGTTTCCTTTACTATGCAAAAGTCTTATATGATGCCATTTGTTGATTCTTGGTACTATTTCTTGTGCAGTCGGGGTTCTATTCAAAAAGCCCTTGCCTATACCTGTGACCTCAAGAGTTTTACCTACTTTATCTCCCAGCAGATTAATGTACCATTGTGACATTTAGGTCTCTAATCTATTTTGATTTTAGTTCGGTACATGGGAAGAGATACAGGTCTAGGCTCAACCTTCTGCATGTGGATAGCCAGTTTTCCCAGTACCATTTGTTAAGGAGGCGATCTTTCCTTCAGTGTATGTTTTTGGCCCCTTTGTCAAAGGTCAAATAGCTGAATGTGCCTTGGATTGTTTTGTACCCTATATCCTGCTCCATTGATCCATGTGTCTTTTTATTTCCGCCAGTACCATGCAGTTTTTATGACAGAAGCTTTGTCATATAACTTGAAATCTAAGATTGTGGTGTCTCCTGCTTTGCTTTTGTTACCCAGATTGATTTTGCTCTTCTGGGTCTCCGCTGGTTTAGTATGAATTTTAGGATTGTTTTCTCTAGTTCTGTGTGGAATGCTGTTGGTATTTTGATTGGGGTTGCATTCAATCTGTATGTCAGTTTTGGAAGTATGGCCATTTTGAATATCTTGGATCTGCCAATCCAGGTACAAGGGACATCTTTCTGATTTCGGGTGCTCTGTTTTATTTCCTTTTGCAGAGTGCTGTAATTTTCACTGTACAGGTCTTTCACTTCCCTGGTTAGGTTATGGAGGATGAACATTATCAAATTGTTAATCACATACAAAGTAATCTATGGATTCAGCTACAAATTCAGTCTGTGGACTCAACTCTCCCCTATGAAAATTCCAGGGGCATTTTCAGAAATAGGAAAAACAATCCTAAGATTCGTGTGGAATCACAAAAGACCCTGAACAACCACAGCAAAGCTGAGCAAGAAGAACAAAGTGGGAGGCACCACACTCCTACTTCAAAACATACTACAAAGCCACAGTAATCAAAATGCTATGCTACCAGCATAAAGACAGACGTGTAAACCCATGGAGCAGAACCTCAAAGAAATCCACATATTTGTGGCCATCTGATTTTTTGACAAAGACAGCACGAGTATACCCTGGGGAATGGAAGCTGTCTTCATTAAAAGATGCTGAGAAAACTGGATAGCCACATACTGAAGGATGAAATTAGATCCTCATCTCATTCTATATACAAGAATCAACCCAATCAGTCATGGTGATGCATGCCTGCATTCCCGCTATGTGGGAGACTGAGGCAGGAGGATGCTTGAGCCTAGGAATTTCAAACTGGGCTGTACAGCACAGTGAGATCTTGTCCCAAGCAAAACAAAACAAAACAAATACAAACAAAACTCAAAATCAACTAAAGACCATAGAACTCATAGAAGAAAAAAACAGGGGAAAACTTAGCCATATTGTTCTCAGCAAAAAACATTTGGGGGTAAGATTTGACAACTAAAGCACAGGCAACCAAAACAAACATAAGTGGGACTGTAGTAAACTAAAAGCTTCTGTTTAGCAAAAAGACTAATCAGCACCCCACGAAACAGGAGAAAAAAACCCATACACCCATTCAGGGGTTGATAGCCAAAATATGTAAGGAATTTGTAGAACCCAACATCAAAAGAAAGAATCCAATTTAAAAACAAACCTACGTTAAACCAGGCAAATGATTTTAATAGACATTTTTGGAAAGAAGACATGCAAATGGTTAACAAGTATATAAAAACATGTTCAAAATCATTAGCTATCGGGGAAATGAAAGCCAAAACTGCTATGAGTTTTCACCTCAAAGCTGGTGGGTTGGCTATTATCAAAAAGGCAAAGGAAGCTGACGCAGTGGCACAAACTTGTAATCCCAGCATTCTGGGAGGAGGCTGAGGCAGGAGGATTGCAAGTTTGAGCCCCGCCTGGGCAACTTAGAGAGACCATGTCTCAAAATAAAAGTAAAAAGAGCTGGGGTATAGCTTCATACAAAGGGTCTGATTAAATCCTTAGCAGAGCAAAAATAAGATAAAATAAAACAATGAAAATAATGAGCAGGTTATCCTTTTCTGTGAAATGTGTACAATAAACTGTACTCTGTCCCCCAGTAAGAGTTTATGTGACTCACCATCTCTGAAAGGAAGAGCTATGCGAGTTAAAACTCTCCTCTAGGAGGCGCAGGACAGAACATTTTGTGTGTGTGTGTGTGTGTGTGTGTGTGTGTGTGTGTGTGTGTGTTCGTGAATGCGAGTAGGTATTTGCTCCCGAAATGTCCCCTTCCTCCTAAGGTAGAGCTCCCGGTGCTGCCGTTCGCAGTTGCCGCGAAGGCTTTGGGTGCTTGTGCGCTGCTGACAGCAGACCACCGCCTCAGCCCCCACACTTCCCTCACAAAACACGTCTGGATGAGAGATGTGGTAGAAACATACAGGGAGTATTTACATCTTAAAAATTTAGTACAGTGAATGCACACTGCCATAACTCCTCCTCCTCAAGATCCTCCCCCCGCTTAGGACACAGTGACCCCTTCACTCTTGCCCCTTCTGGAGAAGTTCCGGAGTTTTGTCTTCACGGGATGTGAGCAAAAATAAAAATGTGGTGGCTGCCGCTGCTGAGTGGCATCCGACGGAAAGGCAGCTCATAAAATCGTGACTGCGTGTCCTTATTCCCTGTATACACGGAGCTGGCACCAGGGCACTTTTGGTCTTTCCCCCAGAGTCAGAATGACCCTGGAAGTCAATGTTTTGAATCAATTCAGGACATCCAGGCAGCCGTAAGAGTGCAACTAAAGACACTCACAAAAGAAGACTTCCAGAACGGCTTCGGAAAGTAGCAAGAATGTTGGGGTAAGTGTCCTTGAAGCAAGGGTGAGGATTTTGAGGGCAATTAATGGCAAGCTATTAGTTATTGCAATAATTTTTATGTAAACATCCACCATTTTTAAAAAATATTACTGCATACACCTTAGGAATTCCTCTACACTGAAGTGGTGAGCCTAGCCTGGGAGATGCAGTGATTTAGAGATTCTGTCTCAAAATAATAAAAGGGCACTGAGGGCTGAGACGTAGCTCAGTGCAAATCCCTGGGTTCAATCCCCAGTACTCCCCCCGCCCCATGAAGATCAAATAAATAAGGAAGCAACAAACCCTGCAATTTTCTGCTGTAAGAATGTCTGGGCTGGCACATCATCTCTGCTCTTTAAAGTCTTCAAGAGCCCCAATTATTCCTTATGGTTCTCACGTGCCAAAGCCGACGCAGAGCTCTTGTGTGCTGAGCCCATGATGGTGGCACCATGGCCAAGGTCCAGGAACCAAGAAAGGAGAAAGCGAAAGGAAGGCACCTGCCTTCCCTTTGAGTAAAGTAATTGTACAACCAATTCTACTCACACCCATTGGCCGGGACTTAGTCACATGACCCCATGTAGTCACCTGACCCACACATGGGAACCTGGGAAATGTAGTCCTTTCTCTGACCATGAACCCAGTTGTAACTGGAGTTTCCTTATGGATCAGTAGGACCAAGCTAGATACGAGCATATCAAAAACAACATTTAAAAAGGAAGGCATTGGTAGCTGCTGGTACCAGTGGTCACACACACTGATGAACAGAGGAGCAGAATGAGTGCCCAGGAGTGTTCATAAGATCCGTCCAGCAGAATTTCGGAATGGCGGCAGACTAGATTTTGTTTCTCTCCTGTTCTTCTCCTTTCCAAATGGGATTGTGTGTGTGAGCCTCTGGACCACCGACAGATGTGGGCAATGGGAAGGGACAGACACGTGTCTCTCTGTGCTTGCTGTGCCTCACTTCCCATACAGAGATTTGTCCACATCCCTTCGCCCAGGCCCTAGGATGCCGAAGAAGACCTCTGACATCGAAGCAGACTTCTGCTTTTAACTCTCTTTGCTATGGACCTGTAAGAAGGTGCTTACCCTCTTTAAACCTCAGTTTTTCGCTGTTGTCATTTCCTAAATCTTTTCATATATCTGAATTAGGGACATAGATATCTACGGATTTTCCCTAAAATGCTAGCTGTTGCTTAAAATTCATGAAATGAATCTGAAGATAATCACACATATCACAGCATGATAGGCCAGTGCCACCACAGCTGGCTTCTCTGTTCTTAGAGGGACACTACTGGACCCAGGGTCCAGCTTGTCCACCCTAACACGACTACTTCTGCAAGGACCTTCTCCTTAGATGCGGTCACACCGCGAGGTTCCAGGGGGCCATGCGTTTTGGGAGGGCGCTGCTGAGCCCACTAAGCCGCCGAACGGTGGTCTCCAAAGACGCGGGGCCCTGCTGGGAACGGGTGTGCGGTGCCGGCGGCTGTCAGACCACCACGCAGGGACATTTCACCGCCGGGCCCTGGGCAGGGCGGTCAGCTCGTCCCCCTGACACGGGCCGGCAGACGCACAGGCGCACGGGAGGCCTGCGGGAGCCTGCGGGTCGGGACGCTCGCCGCGCCCTAGGACCCGGGTCCCTAGCAGATGCCCAGCGAGGATCTGGGGCGCTAAGAGGCCAATTAAGACGGGAATGTCCTGTAGGGGGAGCAGGGCAGGTAATCCCCACCCTACCCCACCCACTTCAGCGCTCAAAGGATGAGCGAACCCAGAAGGGGACTTCCCTGCCAGTGAGGAGACAGAGGTCTTCCCCTCTGTCGGACATCCCCAGCGAGGTCCCCGGCACCTCAGGCCCTGCACGGGGAGGGCGGGGCGGGGGGCGTTTCCCGCTCGGCTCTGGAAGCCGCTGCACGGGGAGTCTTGCCCGCCGCCATGGAAGAGGAGGCCTCGCGCTGCGCGGTCCCCAGCTTGTCCCGGGCCGTCTCCAGGCGCGGAGCCTGGGTGCTCCTTGTCCTTTGTCTGCTGACCTCACTCTCCTGCTTGGTCTCCTACTTCCACTGCAACCACCGCTGCCCGGGGCAGCCTTGCCCGCTGGAGTCCGCGGTGAGTGGGACCCGAGGCCGGGGGCTGGGCGAGACCGGGGTGCGCGCAGCAGGGAAGAGGGGCCTGGGAGTGGGGCGGGGACCCCGCTGCAGCGCAGACCAAGTTCAGAGAAATAGGGATTGAAAAAAAGGAAGAGATGGTGGAGAAGGAAAAGCCCAACCAGCGGGGCAGAGACGGCTGTGTCCTGAGCCCCACGGACGGCTCCTAGCTTGCGGGGAGGGCTCCTGAGTCCCAGACCCGGATGCCGGGGCTCTGCGGGGTCGCAGGACTGGGGCGCGAGCCCGGCAAAGCTCGCTCGGTCTCCTCTGGGTGCTCCCTGCGGGTCCAAAGCGACTTTCCTTTTAAGGCTCTTTTCAAAAGAAAATGAATGCAATGGCCCATGCCTGTAATCCCCGCACTGGGTAGGCTGAGGCAGGAGGGTCGCCGCGAATTCGAGGCCAGCCTGGGCTGCATAGCGAGACCGTGTCTCAAAAGACAAACAAGCAAACAAACAAACAAACGCACGCACGCAGAGACTGGAATGCTAGGGAAATGAATCACACACAGACGGTAGCAAACAGGGAGGTGGAGTTTATGAAGAGGGAAGGGCTTGTGGGACTGGAGGAGACCGGAGGGCGGGGAACGGAGGTGAAAGCGATTAAGACGCGCGAAGTGTGTAGGGGCCGATTCCCCAGGCAACGCATTCCTTAGAGATCTCATACGTGGACTAGAGAAGAAAGCAAAGAAAAAGAACAGCGTGTTCTCTTATTCCCACTGGGAGGAGAGGTGGGCAGAGATGCTTAAGGGATGCTACAAAACCCCCCGCTGACGTCCTTGTCCTGTGTTCTGTCCTTTCTTCCAGAGGGACGCGGCTGAGCTGCAGCTGAATGTCACAGGTGATGTGGGGGCTCCGCGGGTGCCCTGCGTGTGCACGTGTGTGTGTGTGCGAGTGTGTGTGTGTGAGATGCACGCACACACGCACGCGCACACACACGGAGACACGGAGACAAGCCTGTAATCCTAGCACTCTTGGCTCTGGGAGGCTGACTCAACAGCATCAAAAATTCCAGCCCAGCCTGGGCAACTTGGAAAGACCTGGTCTCAAAAGAAAACAATAAAGGGCTGCAGCTGTAGTTCAGCGAAAAGGCCCGGGGTGCAATTCAGAAAAAGAAAAGAAAAAGAAAAAGAAAGACCGCAGGCCCCTGCTGCTCTGCGCTGCAGGACCGGCGAAAGCAAAGGCGGAGGACCAGGGCCGGGACAGTCGCGCGCGCTTCCCGTTCGCTCCGCGGCTCCTCCCTCACCCTCTCACTTCTGCGCATTTCACTCCCCCCTTGGAAAAACCAAAAACAACTACAGCAGCCCCCGAGGCATTATTGCAACACCGCTCGTTCTTGACGGAAACACGAAGTGGGCAGACACCGCCTCGGGCTGCAGCAGAGCGCGGCGCAGGTGGATCCGGGCCTCCGCGCCCCTGCCCAGGGCGGGGACAGTCAGCAGCTGGGCGGCGGAGGGCTCGAGGGCTCGGCGGGAGGGCCTGAGGCTCGTCCCCAGCACCGCACTCCGGCCCAAGAGCAGCGAACGAGAGAGCGAGGCCACGTGTAGGAAAAGGGGCAGAGGAGGTCTGGGCCGGAAGTGAGGCGGGAGGGGGGGAGGTGGGGCACCCCGGGGAGGGGCTGCTGCTTAAAGTTGGGGGGGCAGACGGCCTGAGAGGGGCGAGGTGGAGAAGCCCAGGGAGGTGGGGGTGGGGCGTCCTGCTGGTCCGCACTGGTGGGTAGCTCTCTCCATTGTGCTCCCTGGAAAGGTCTCAGCTCCACGTTGATGCCTCCCGCACTGTGGGGGACACCTTCCTCTCTTCTGCGGCGGGGGGTCTCCGCTCCTCTTTCAATCCTGGCGCGTGAGTGTGGCTGGTTTCTCTCCCTGTCCCTGTCCCCTCTCCCCTCCCTCTTCCTCTTCCTGCCAAAGGTCCACAAAACCTCGCACATCTGGGCCCACCACATCTGGTTGTGCGTACCTACAAGGCTTCCTCCCGGCAGATGGCCTGAGGCCCCCTCCCAGGAAACTGGTTCACAGGGCAGATGTCCCTCAGCTGAGCTCCGGCTGCTTTGCCGAGACCACGATGGCGACGGTCTAGGAGAAGCCAGTGCGGAGGAGAGTTAGGGTCTGGCCCGCGGCCCTGGGGGGCAGCGGAGGCGGCTCACGAGATGCAGGGAGCGAAAGGGGCCGTTTGAGCTGGGCAGAGCGGCACCTGTGTGCAACCCCAGCAACCGGAAGGCTGAGGAGGGGCAGTCTGAAGTTTAAGCACAGCTCAGGCAAGGTAGCAGGATGCGATCTTAAAACTGTTAAGAAGTGCAGTGTAAATGTTCATCGACCTGCGACCTGAGGGTGGCGTCGTTTCTTTCTGCTGCCTGGTGCATTTCTTTTGCTAGCCAGTTCCTCATGAAAAATTACACCATCATGATGTGGTGTAGGCGCTGTGCACCCCCAGTCCTCCAGCTTTCAGCCCTTGGCCTGTGGAGGCGGAGGGGCTCCCCTCGAGGAGCCGGGAGGACCGGAAGAGCCGGCGATGCTGGAGAGGGAAGCGGAGCTGCTGCCGCTGGGAGAAAGTCCACAGGGGATTCACAGGGCCGCCAGCCAGACCTGCAGACCTTCTCTGCGCTTCTCCGGGCCTGTGTCTCCGCTCGCCTCCCCTCCTGCGTCTCCTGCGGGGCAGGCCCTTGTGCCTCCCTCCCTCCCTCCCTCTCCCCTTCCCTCTCCCTCTCTCTCCCTGTCCCTCTCGCTCTCGCCTCTGCTCTCTCTTCTTGCATCTCCGCCACCTATCTTGCTGCTCTCTCCTGTTGGGGTTGTAACCTGTCCCACTGCGGCTAGGTTTCCTCTCCCTTTAGCTCTCTCCCTCGCCCTCCCCTTACCTCTCCCTCCCTAATGCCTTGTCCCACTATCTGTAGCAACACCCAGTCTTCCTAACCTCCACCCCATCCTCTAACCCTCCGCCCCAGGTCCCCGGCAGGACCCCAGGCTGCGCTGGCAGGCGGACCCATCCTTGGGGCGCTCTTTCCTGCACGGACCTTCACTGGACGACGGGCAACTGCGTGTCCGCCGCGACGGGGTCTACCACCTGCACATCCAGGTGACCCTGGCCAAGTGCTCCTCCACGGGGCACGTCAGGCACCACGACGCCACCCTGGCCGTGGGCGTCTGCTCCGCCACCCACAGCGTCAGCCTGCTGCGCCTGGGCTTTGGCCAGGGTTGCACTGTGGCCTCCCAGCGCCTGACGCCGCTGGCCCGCGGGGACGTCCTCTGCACCAACCTGAGCCTGCAGCTGCTGCCCTCCCCAAACGCCGACGAGACCTTCTTTGGCATCCAGTGGGTCCGCTCCTGACCGACACCTGCTTGGTTGGTCTGCTTCTGTTTTCTGTAAATAAATGTATTTTCCAATTTCCCCCGCACATGAGTCTTTGATGAGTAAGCAAAGCCCAGCCCAGCCTGCTTCGATGGACAAAAGAGATCTCACTTATTCCCCTCAGAGTCCAGGGCTCCATAAACAAACCCAGGAAGCATGGTCAGAGCCCAGCTGTGGTCACAGCTACTTGGGAGGCAGAGGAGGAGGAGGATGCTAAATTCAAGGCCAGCCTGGGCAGCTTAGTGACGTGGAGTGACCCTGTGTCAAGAATAAAATTAAAATTAAGGTTTTACCGAGGGACCTAAGGAGAGGTGGTAAGTAAAAATCTTGTAAAATCATGGAAAGGAAAAGGGACATTAGATAACAAGTAAAAAAATATATATGCACATATAGCTGGAAGCAGTGACACACACCTCTCATCCCAGCACTCTGCAAACCTGAAGCAGAAGGGTTATAATTTGACCCCAGACTGGGCATTCTAATGGCTTAGTGAGACCCTGCCTCAAAATCAAAAATAAAAAAGAGGTAGGGATGGAGCTCAGTGGGAAGGATCTGAGTTCAATACCACAGAAAGAAAGATAATAGAAAGAAGGCAAGCAAGGGAGAGAGAGAGAGAGAGAGAGGGAGAGGGAGGGGACTTCATAATAATGAATTCATTTTGGTTTCTTAGTTACAACAAATATTTCAGACTAGTGTCAGATGCTATCTTAGTACCTGTGGGATGCAGTAGCAAAATACCTTACACTGGATAGTTTATTAAACAACGGAAATGTGGTGTTCACAGTTCTTGAGGCTAGAAGCTCCAGATCCGTGTGCTGACAGATTCAGCGCCTGGTGAGGTCTGAGTCTGCTTGAAAGACTGCAAAGGTGGCACCTTGTGATCAGTCCTCAATGAAACGAGGGGGACACCACATCTTCTAGAAGGTGCTCATTTCGGTCATCAGGGTGCAGCCCACTTGACTCAGTCACTCCCCCGAAGGCTTCAGAGCTTACTATTACATCAGGTATCGGGATCCAAAAGATGAATTCGGGGGGGGGGGCACCGCCATCCCGATCACGGCAGATGTGACAAACAAGAAGCGTGCCTACGGGTACACGAGAACTCTCCACGTCCTCTAATCAGTTTTCCTGTGCATCTAAAACTGTTCAAAAACTATACGGTGCCTTTGTTTTTAAAATAAATGAAATAAAAATGGGGAAGGATGCTTCGGCAGAAAAAGGGCTTCCGAGTTTCACATATTTAAGCACCAGGCTTGTACAATAGGACCTTCCCAGGGGATCTCCAGGATGCATGGGAAATGACGTCAAAAGATGTAAGCCAGAAACGTCCCCTGTGCATAAGGAAGTGTGCACATGACAGCATTAACCCAGAGCCAAAGCAGTCAACAGATCAAAGGACAAATACACGTCGGCTCCACCATGCAGTGGAGTATTCCCCAGCTGCTACACTTATGCCGGATACGGTGAGCATCATAAATTAATAAATTACACAGTAATTCCCTCCCCCAAACAAATTAAGGACTCCAGTTTAACATGCCACTAAAAATTAGAATAGTGTCTGGGTAGAAGAAAAAAGGCACAAATTTGGAGCAGTTTTTAAAGTCTTCCCTACATAGTGTTTAGGTAAAAATATATTTCATAAGTGGGGAGAAGAAAATCCAACTAAGTAAATGACTCTGCCCCTCTATTCAGCCAGGACTAAGCTGATCCATCTGAAAAGTCTCACTTTAGTGTCATTCTCCCGTTCTGCCAACTAATTCTTGCTCACAGGTGAGTGAATTCTGATTTTCAAACAACTTATCATACCTCTTTCAGTCCTTAATTTTTGTAAAAATTTCTTTTACTAAGAGAACACTGCTGTGTGCTAATTAATAGCTGGAATATAGAAGGAAGATTGAGGTACACTGTTTAAAGTTAAGATGAGCCACTCCGAGCATAGACGAAGTGTAACAGAGAGTGGGTCCCTTTGATAAATCCAGCTCTTAAAAAATATGATCAAGCACCAAAAAAGAATTTTCTTGTTAAAAAGAGGCACTTACATAACACAGCACTGCAGCAAGACTGAAATGCTCTCCTACACTCAACCCCAAAGAGAGAGGGGGCAGAGGATGTGTTATGGTTGAAATATTGTGTCAACTTGGGGAGTCTAGAGGTTTGGCTAAGTAACTCAGCAGGAAGCCAGGATACCTACTTTGTATACATCCTGAGCCTGTGGAAGAGGAGGGCAAAGATTATGTGAGAGCTACACGCCCCTTAGGTG